CTTATAAAAGATATACTATGAACAACAAAATTAAGAAAGCGAAACCAAATTCTTTTTAAGACTACCATGTTTTTAAATCTATATATTTACTTTCAATGACATCATCAAGTAGGATTCATATATTACTATGCAAACTTTTTTGAGAGTTGGACCTAAAGAAGAATAAATAAAAATTGACCAAGAAGCAATTGTCTAAAAGTCTATATTTCTAGTAAATGCAACAAATTCATGTATCCAAAAAATTTACTAATAAATGGGTGGAATCAAAAACTATATATATATATATATATATATATATATACATAATAAAAAATTATAAAATAAGGCTATCAAAACATTTACTATGCATCTGCTGAATTTAAACTGTAAATTTATTTTATAATATCCTTAGGAAAATATATTAGAAAAGTCAAGTAACAAGGATATTACGAAATTTCTCATCAAACTCAAAAACAAACATAAATTGATTAAATTAAACATGTATCATTTCTTCTTTTTTTTTTTTTTTTTTTTTATTATTATTATTATTATTGCACACCCTATAAAACTAGAGTCAGCTATATGCCATTCTAGTGAGTATATGAGATTTATCTATTAATGCCAATTAAGTATATAATACCAACTCATTGTAAGAAATTAAAAAATATGACTCAAATTTTTAAAAAACACTAAGATTTTGACTACCAAAATTTGAATTTTTACTAATGATAGAAATATAAATAAAATAAATTCAATTAAATAGAATTAAAATTATACTATTTGGAGCAAAAAATATTATCTAAAAAATATCATTTGAGGTCAAAAATTATATTTTAAGGTTCTTTAAAAGTAAAAAAAAAAAAAAAAAAAAAAAAAATACTTGAATAAAGTTTAAAATTAATCGGATTAGATCTTATCAATTCCATCATTTATTATTATTATTATTTAAAATAAAATTAAAAAATAATTAATTTTAATAAATAACTTTCTTATAATTTAATGTTTATATAATTTGATCCAACTTCATTCAAATTTTGCAAAACATGTATTTTCAAATATTAACTAAGAAGAAAAATAAAAATAGTCAAGTGCAATCTAATAAAAAATTGAGTTTTTTAAAATTAAACAAACTCAATTATAATTTTCAAAAATCTCTATCATAAGAAACACTTAGAAATATTTGTAATATACAAAAAAAAAAAAAAAAAAAAAAAAAGATGATTCATGTCAAGTTTGAAATATTTTATAAAATAAATTAGTTACTATTTTGTATAGAATCATAAAATAAAATAAAGTAAAATAAATGAAAGAGTATAAATAAAATAAAATAAAAAGAAAGATAAAGAAGGATAATTCTCACCCAACAAGACCATTGTATCTTATACAAGGAACCAAACCACTTTCATCAACATAAAACAATCAAGATATGCAATTTGAAAAAAACATATATTTAAATTTTATTGGCCAACTTAAAAGATGTGGAGAATATTATTGCAAACGCAGGTATAAGGAATCTACGACTTAAAGCCAAAAAATATAATTTGCAATTTGCAACTTTAACAAAGATGATGTGTTTTACTGTAGGAAAATGAAACACTAATTTAAAATATTTTGGCAATCACACATGTAAGAAAGTGTTTTTACAATGTGTTAATTATTTTTAAAGAATCCATGTATAAAATTTGTACACCTACATGAATAGCTTCAATAAATGAAAACTATTAGAATTTATTATTATACTATTTCAACAGTAGTGTCTTAATAATAAAACATACCAAATGCTATAAATTCTACAAGAAATTCACAATTTTTTTTTTTTTTTTTTTTTTTTTTTTTTGCTTTGATTCTTACTATCTTAATTCAATAGAAAGCTTTAGGCATTTAATTACATCTACCTTGTCTGTTACACATATTCTTAGGATTTCGACTAAAGAATTAAAAAGAATTTCTTCTCCAATTCATCTACAATATTTACAATATAAAAGAATTTTGTCTTCAAAATTTATTAAACCAAATACATTTTAAGAAACTCATTTATAAAAAAGCATTTTCTATCTTGTGGAATGTTTAATAATTTCTTTTTGCTAAACACACGATTTTTTCCTTCACTTTATTTATTTTTAAGTAGATCAATTATTTATTTCAGTATTTATTTATTTATTATTTATTCTAACATGAAGATATTGTTTTTCTAAGACTTACTTGAATGTTGATACTTGACCTATTTGGATATTAATTTTGGACTCATTAAATTGAGTCATCTTTACTAGTCAAGTTGACTTTGTTGGTTGGCTTGACTAGACAAAATTGGATTTTTTTTTCAACTTCACTTTATTAGGTGGGAAATTCCATTCACATTAGCCATTGTGTCTTGTCTACTTTGTATCATCTAGTTATTGGTGTTTAAAACAACAGATATTTAAAATATCATCAGATTTATTTACTTATCATTATGCATTTAAGTAGGAATATTTGCAAGAAATTGAAAGAAGTGTGGTGTTTTCTTCTTTCAAAAATCATATGAGTTATTTGGTGACATTTTGTCCATTTTAACCTGCCACACTAGCAAAAGCAATTTCCTATACTAAAAATTAATAATATTATATATATTTTTATTCCTTGTTATTGTTTATATGTATGCATATATATATATATATATATATATATAATTGTGATATTATTTAATTTTGGTTAATCTTTTTTGTCTTCTCATTTCTTTTCAATCCTCTAGCAGTATGTTTTCTTATTTAATATTGTAACAATTCAAATTTAAAACATACTTTCATTAAATAGTTAAACACTATGAGTCTTTCAATATTTTAATAAATGGTATTATTTCATATGTTGATTGGATGGCTTGATTCTCAGTTTTTTCTTATGGCTCTTCATACAATTGGATGTGTGTAAACACTTTTTGTCATTATTAATGATTTCTGATACATTTTTTGGATATGCATTGTTTTTGTTGTTTGGTAGTGCATTATTACTATGAAAATACTGTTTTTTCTATTATTTCTTTAAATATAAAATTTTTAATTTAACTTTCTGTATGTACATAGAAAAATGGTACTCATCAAATATGTTGCTGCTAATTTTTATCTATATAAGAATTTTAAATATTTGAAATTAAGGCCGAAAGAGTTTTTTGAAAGTATTTTTGAGCTTATGCAAATCTTTCTGTTTATGTTTACATTATTACTAAGAAAATACTGTAGATTATTCTTGTTGTTTTTTTTTTCTTTGATATAATATGAAAGACAAAAAAAAAAATCTATAAAACATTCTATACTACTGGCTTAAAAAGATTATTTTGTTAAATTTTGATCATTTTTTTATTTAATTTTTGTTAAATATTACTAAGATTTTGTAATTTGATATCAAATACATTCATTGATTTTATTATATATATATATATATATATATATAGTTTTGTTTTTTTCTTTTCTGAAACTATGTTTTTATTTTTATTTTAATATTATAAATTTCTATCAAACATTGTATAATCATCAAATTTTAATAATTTATTTTAATTTTTAATGTTCTTAGTGTGAGTATACCAAAAAGTCAATCATTAATATGTAATGTATCAAATTTAGTTTCTGACAATAATATGGGCAAATCTTTTACCATCATGTGTAAAATAAAGAAGACTATTGATTATGTATAAAATATATTATACTTCAATAAGTTTAAATTACACAATACAAAATTTCAATTTTTTGTTCTCTCACTAGAATGTTTTAAAAAAAAAAAAAGGGATGGAATTTGTACCTCACAAAGTACAAACAAATAGCTTAAGCAATGGGTATGCAGGGCCAAGATGATAAAAAAACGTGTTGCAGTAAGTTGGAGACATTGAAACAAAGAAGGGGGGGTTTGTAATTTGAAACATCAAGAGATACTATTAATGGAACGAAATGGACCATTTTATTATTTGTGAGGTGTATCTGTAAGTCGTGATGATAATGGTGATGATAGTGACGGAGAGATGAATGAATAAATGAATGGAAGATGGATGATTTAAAGAGATATGAATGGTGGGCGAATGATGGATGGATGGATGGATAAATAATTGGATAGATGATGGATTGATGAATGGATGGATGGATGGATGGATGGATGGATAAATAATTGGATAGATGATGGATTGATGAATGGATGGATGGAATGATGTAGAAGCAGAGAGAGAGAGAGAAGCAGCGGGGCACATGCCAATGGAAATGTAAAATTGAAAAGGGAAAAAGGGGCCTGGGGCAATATGGGCAATATTATGTCGATGATGGTTATGCTTTGGAGTAGTAGTAGTAGAAGAAGAAGTAGAAGTAATAGAAGTAGTAGTCCCTTGCCCTCGTGGAACCAACCAACCAACCCAACCTGGCGGAAAAGAAAAGAAAAGAAAGAAAATAAAGAAAGAAAACAACGCGCTCCCACTCACTCACTCACTCACTCACTGACTCACTCTCTCCTCGCTCCTTCTTTCTCTCTATCTCCACCCCCCTTTTTTCTCCTGTTCTTCACGACGTTGCGCACTTGTT